GGCACTCAAAATAAGGCAGAACAGAAGGACAAAGACAGGTAGAATTTCTTTTTTCTTTTTTTTTTTTTTTTTTTTTTTTTTTGGTTTTTCTCCGATACCGGGAACTGAACTCACAACCTTGCACTTGCCAGGCAGGCGCTTTGCCGCTGAGCTAAATCCCCAGCCCCGACAGGTAGAATTTCAATACAGGATGCTATTTGCACATTAGTTGGGCTGGTGTTCATTGGAGGTTGATGTTGAAGAAGAGCGTAAAAATACTGGCTAATTTCATACTTTCAAGTATACATAATAAAATATCCAAGATAACCAGTAAAAGACGAATATAGAAAACATAACACCCAAAAGGGGGTAAATAAATGAAAGTAGGAAAAATATTGTTTCAGGGGAAAATAATAAAACAAGGATAAAAAAACAAACAGCAAAATATATGAGTAATAGTGCAGAATAAATTCAAATATGTAAATCATCATAATTAATATAAATGGATTCAAATTTTTACTAAGAACTCAAATGTGGGTGTAAAAACATGTAGTATGTTTTGTTTTTAGGAGTCCCAACTAAAGTGTGAGACAGAGAAACGTTAACAGCAAAGAGGTGGAAAAAGTTAGAGCAGGCAGATACTAACCAAAATAAAACTGGTATAGTTATATAAATATCAGACACAATGGACTATAAGTCACAGAATGTTATTAAAATAAAGAGTGATAAAAGATAGGTAGTGATAAAAGATATGTATGAAAAATATTCAGCTCTATGAAGGATTAAGGAAGTGAAAAGTGAAATCTAACAGTATTCCAGCTCATACAGAATGGCAAATGTTAAGACATGCAATGTTAGATGCAGGCAAGGTAGGGACGCCACCTTTATCCTATATGGTTATAACAATTAACAGCCCCTTTAGAAGTGTGGCCTACTTGGAACATTTGAACACCTTCCCATTCTTTTACCAAGGAATTCTAATTGTGGTTATATACCTGTCTTAATCTATTTCTTGTTGCTAGGACATCATACTTGACACCACAAGTTAAAAGAGGAGAGGTTTATTTTGACTTGGAGTTTCAGAAGTTTCAGTTCCGGGTTTGCCAACTCCAAGGCAGAGACTGCATGGCGGAAGGGCTGAGGTGGAGGAGAGCTGCTCCTATCATGAGGGCCAGGAAGCAGAGAGAAGAGAGAGGAGCTGGGTTGAGAGAGACACACTTCTAGGTCAAGCCCTGGTGACCTACCTTCTCCAACCAGTCCCCAACTCTTAACAGCACACCAGCTATGAGCTCATCAGTGAGTATAGCAACTCCACCAATGAGTATAGCACCTATCACTGTCCAAACACATGAGACTTTGGGGGAACATTTCAGATCCAACCCAGAAAATACCCTCAAGAAATTATACAAGCGTATCAAGACACACACACAAGAAAAACATGTACAGAACAACTTCGTTGGTAAGAGTAAAGAAACAAAAACATCCAAATGGTAATCAGCAGTAAGATGAATAGACTACATTAAGTCAACAGTGTGATACTGTACAGCCCTGAAAATGATTAACCTAGAGCTGTTCCTGTCACCATCGTAAAATTTTATGCTCAATCAATTGTTTTTAAACATTAGTGAATACTGGAATTATCTAAGGAGTCCATGGAGAACACAGAGGTCTTGCTTGTTGATGTGGGGCAGGGCTGGTTGTCTGTAAGTTTATGAAATTCTGACTCTGTGCATGATAAAATTTGAGAACCACTATGTTAAAACACAGTTGCAGGAGACCTGCCTACTGTTCAGCTCACACAAAGCAAAGTAAAACATACAAAACTAGGCCGTATGCCCTGTGTAGGTTCCATACATGAGTCATGACAAAGTCTGCTCTGGAGAGAGTCAGGGAAGCATTAGGGGGCACACATCCAACCAAAGTATGGGCATTAGTTTATTCCTTAGCTTGGAGATCATTCATACTTAATGTATGTAATATCTATGTGCATGAAATGTATTTCCCCTTATAAATTTAAGAGTTAATAAAGTAAGAAAGCTTAATATTGAAGCTGTGTGCTCCAGCGAGCCTCTGTGTGCTGTGTGTTCTGGGATTTTCACTGCTAGTTTACTGATTTCCAACAGCAGGGTTTACACATTGTCTTGCTTCTTCTGCTTACTAGCCTGCCTACCTGGAAGCGTTCATTCAGCTGGGACAAAGGAAGAGTCTGTCTCCCTTTTCATCACCTAGAAAGAACTGGGGAAGTTGCTTTTGTGGATTCCTGCATTCTGATTGCATGTATCTCTGGCCTGATCAGGAAGGACAGTCCTGGGAGAGCAGGTTGCAGGGTGGATGTCACTGGCATGCAGTGACTATGCCATGACCCAAAGCCAGTGGATGCGAACTGGTCCAGGGCAGACAGGGAAGTCTGCAAAGCTCCAGCAGATCCTCACCGTGAAGAAGGCCTATGGCAGCTGATGAACTGGTGGAGAGCTGTCCTTGGGGAGTGCTGGGTAGGAAGAACACAAGAGGTACAGGGTGCAGACTAGGGCAGCCGGGCACAGAGCTGGACCCCCAGCCCCAGTTGCATCACAGCTGCACCTGAGTTCATTAGCCACTCATGCCAGGTGCCACTGCAGCTGTCAGGGCAGTGATGGCTGAACTTACAGAAAGGTCCCATGCCACTTGGTCAGTCAGCTCCCTAACAGGTTTCCAGGGTTCTGTGTGGGGTGTGCTGGGGAGAGCTCAATGCTGCTAGATCCTCTCCAAGAAGATGAGGAAACAGGATATTTCATAAAAGTGCTTCAGGGGAGTAGCTGCTACCCCTACAATGGCCTCTGCCCTCCAGAGAATGTGGGAAATCAAAAGCGGTGTGACCTATTTTCCTCTTGGAGGTGTGCAGGTCCTGATTCACCCCACTATGCATCACTCAAGTCACATGTTTCATGGATTCAACCTTCTTTGAGATAAAGAATTTCCTCCCCTTGTCCTCTGTATTCCTTTTCCAGGGTAAAGATACCTACTTTGTTGCTCCATTTAATGTTCCTTCTTCAGTGAGATGGGATATGGTTTATTTCATCTGGATCCGATGCTCAAGCCGGGCCTTGCTCCCCACGGCAGAGAGCTAAGCTGGGCAGGTGTACTCTGGTACCCCTTGAATCCCCCTGTTTTCCAGGCCCAGCCCACAGACCAGTTTCCTTACTTATGATTGTCTTTTGGTCCCAATCCAGTAAGATCATCTTCTTCCAAAGAGACTTTTGTCCAAATACAAACTTTAGTGCTTTAAGCCCCAGTCCAATATGAAATAATGTATTTATTTTCCCAAGATCCCTGCAGTTCATTGTATTTGGGAACTATTGATCACACTAAAAGGACACAACTCTTAAGGTTTTATTCTCTCTCTGCTCAGCATGTGGTTTCAACTCACTGGGCTTCACACACACAGAAGCTTCCAGACAGATCCTAAATACATGGTTTACCAGCTTACCCTTAAAAACGTCATCCTCCTGTTTAAATGATTTTGCAGCCCTGATCCCTAGTATCTAACCACATGAGTTCCACTTATACCATCTCAGTGCCTCAGATGGGTCATCTGCAAGGAAGAAGAGTTAAAGCTCATTTTAAAATGTATTCATGGTTACTATTGACTTGAAAATAACCACCAATTTGGTCCCTTCTTGGAAACAATGAGCCAGAGCTTCTCTTATCCTGACTGTCTGCTTTTTCCACTGCTGGGATGCTCCCTGCACATCTGGTTCCATTCTCTGTGGCCCCGTGTGGGATCCAGCTGTGCAGCTTAGCGCTGTCCTTCCTGTCCTCTCCTCCTCCCACTTGCTCCTCTCTAATCCTCTCTCTATACAGCAGCCAGAGGTCTTGTAGCTCACTTGTGCCTAGACCCCTTCCGGGGCTCATCAGCACGCTTAGTGTGAGTGGTTTCATAGGATGCACTGATCGCCACATCCCGTCTGAGCCTGAGCACAGGGCTCCTCTTGCCTCTGGCCACCCACCTTCTGGGCCCTCGCAAGCTTCCCTGTAGATCCCTCCCCTCCCCGCCCTCCCCAGCTGGGTGAAGATCATGGCCTTGCACACACCTGATTGCTGCTATAAAACAAAATTGGCCTGTTCTCCCATGCTCAGCTGTACCCCAGCCTCTCAGATGCATGATCGATCCCCCTGAAACATTTTGCCTGACAGGTTAATTCACACATTCAGTTCAGGCTTCCTCTGGACACAGCTCCCTGCCTCTCACTCCCTTTTCAATTCCTGTGCTTGAGGATAAAATGGGATAATGACTGGATCTGTCTCATAGAATTCCCAGGGCTCTTAGGAGTCCTGGATGATCTACTAACAAATATGAAGAGCCTGGTGCAGGGTAGATCTGACATGGAAAGCACAGTGGCTGTCCTCAGCCCCTGAGATGCATGGTACATTTCATTCTATGTTGATAAGAGAGAGAGATTCATTTGATGGGGTTATGTCTGACTTCTGCATGACCATGTCCTGGTGCTTAGTATGGAGCAAAATGCAGAACAGATGTTGGGTAGATTTTGTGGAGTGAATGAATGAGTGAGTGAATGAATGAATAAATAGTTTTGTGAAATTTGCATGCAGATATTTTCATAAAACCAATCTGATTAAAGAATTCACGCATGCTCATTGCATTTTGCCCAGCTGTGTCACAGAAGCTCAATGTTCCCTGCCTAAATCAGTGACTCCTAACTGGAAATTCAGCCTTTGTGCCTGGCTGATGCCTCCTATGATTCCTGACAGTGTTGGATCCTCAGAGCCTGACCCTGTGGAGACCATGGAAAAGTGCTTTGGCCTCAGACACCCTTTTCTGGCCTGCAGGGAGAAAAGTAAAAAATCCTGTTTGGGACACAAGTGGTGTTAGTGACATGTGTGACAGGGACCCAGTCCATTCACTCACTCACTCATTCATTCCACAAAATCTCTTTGGGCTGTTGTCTGAGATGCTCTGGATGGGATTTTTGCAAAGACAGTTCATGAGCTGATGGTAAGCATGGATCTGGTTATTTCTCCAGGAAATCAGTGACCCTGAGATCCTGGATCTGGTCCACAGTGCCCTTGGCAGGATGACCGTGGTCCGGCAGATATTCCCATCTGCGAAGGACAACCAGAAGTGCATGAGGAACAACCACCGCATCTCCTCCCTGCTCTGTGACCCCCAGGAAGGCTACCTCCAGATGCTGCAGGTCAGTGCAGTCTCCCCTCCACTTAGGGCCCCTGTTATGCCCTTGTCCGGCTGCAGGAGACACGCCCAGGCCTCCTGGGTGCCAGCTAAGTGCTGTTGCCCACAGACTTTAATTACTCAAACTATTGTTTGCTGACGTTGAAACTAGTCGACTGACTGGGCAGTGTCTCTGTGTAGCATTAGCAGGCAATTATGCCTGTTGTCAGCATGCAGGGTGTGTTAGCTCTCCAGAGCCCTCTGTTATTTACAAGTTACGTGCTTGGGGAAAAGGAGATTGCTGTCTCTTAGGCCTTGATAATTGCTTCATGGGGATGGTCTCATCTGGCAGGGTAGGGGATGGGGACTTTCTTCAGGCTCTTCCTTGTTAGAAGTCACTAATGGAAACATGGTACCTAAGGACTTGGAATTGACCCAGCCTATCTGCTGAGCACTGAGGTTAAAGTCGATAAGGTTGCTGCTGTGTTTCCAGCTGAGCAGAGAGGCCAGAGAGCAGGACTAGGACATGTCACCCTGTTCCGTTCTTTCCAAGGCAAGAGGTACCAAATGGCTATGGTCAGTCCTTTAACTACTGCCCAGTGTGTGCTCAACAGGCACTGGCTTGTCCTGTGGCCATGGAGTGGGATGAGGAGACGCATGCTGGTTGCACCAAGTGATTTTCAGCCTGGTGATTGGGGAGCAGCAAGGAAGACGTGTGGAGACTGCCCACTGGTCACCCTGAATCCGCTTTCCTATTAGGAATGTCACTCACCAGAAAATTGTTACTGGTGTTTGCTAGGAGCCACATGACAGAAGGGACATTACCAGTTGGGTTTATGAAAGTGGGCCTAGAAGTTTGCATATGTGACATGCTTGCCACAGCATTTGAAACCAACCCTGCCTTCTTCATCCAGACAGGTGTGAGGAGCGGAAACCAGGGCTTCTGGTTGGAGATGGCTGTAGCTGCCACCTGGGTGGTATGATATCAGGATCTTGTGGTACCATCATTTCAGGGGCCATAATCTTAGAGTAGGGGATTACTGAAATCTTGAGTGGGCTGTAGACATATGTAATTTGCCAAAGCATTGAGTTTATTCTATAATGTTATATTTGCAGACAAAAAAGAGAACATGTCTCAATAGATAATAAACATGAGAAATACAGGAATTCTTTGATTCACAAACACTTGTCTGAGAACAATTCAGTTTACAAACAAAAGTATTTTGCAGAAGGTTGCTTCTGTTCACGAACTCCACATCGGATGATGAACATAACTGCAGCCATCTTCCCCAGAATCATGGAACAAATTAGGTTCATGAATCCGGGTACCACTGTATGTTCTCAGCGGCCGGGAAACTCCACAGACACTGGTGCCCACCACAAAGGGAGCCCATCAGCTGGCTGGGCTGGATGGGATGTGTGGGGACTTTCTGAGGTGATAAGGGGTTGCCCAAGAGAGTGGACTCTGCAGGGCCTGTAAACCTGACAGCGCTGGTCTCGTGGGTCAGAAAGGTCCTTGGTGCAATTATACCTTTTTGGAGGCTGCTGTCTGTTCTTCCTTCTCCCAGGAGCCTGGAAGAGGTGGTGAAGACCATGTAAGTGCTTGTGCTTCTCACTGGGCCTCTGTGTGTCACTCCTATGCTCCGTGTGGACAGAGATGGAGGTGGACGGGGGACAGGCAGTGTCTGTACCTCCCTGCCCCCATGCAGGAGGAGCAGTAGTTAATCCCTCTGCTCTGTGTGGGACCAGACCCCAGGACGCCCTCACTCCCTGGAGTATCTCCCTAGGTATTTTCCCTGGGAAGGGCTTCGTCCCTCTCTAGATGTGTACTCTCTTTGCTGCAGCCCATCCTCGTATGCCTCTGTCCTTTTCCATTTCCTGTTAAATCAAACGCAGCCTACTGACAAGAAAAGAGGGGCCGAGTGTGGCCCACCCCCCTTTTCATTGCCTGAGTGTGGACTGCACTGGCTGGGACAGGAGAGAGAATGGCAGTATTTCTCTAAGTCTGTGCTTCCTCCTTTTGCTGTGGACCAAAGTGTGCAAAGAGGAGGGCACTTTGCATATGAAACATATTAGGTGCAGAGGACCTGTCCACTTGCAGATGATGAGAGAGCGGGACTCCAAGGGGCTGGAGTCCAGCTGCCGCCATCTGAAGGTGTCCTGGACGCGGTGAGATGGTACACAGAGGCACGGCATTGAGGAAGCACATGAGTTATTGGACCCCGGAAGCCTGAGACAGCCTCCCTCCCTCTGCTCCTGCTGAGACCAGGCCTTCTAGAAGGAGCAGAACCCACATGCACCACCACAGAGGTCTTTCAGTGGTCCCGGTAGCAGCAGCAGCAGCAGCAGCAGGACAGGAGCTAGACTCCCTGGGTACAAATCCCAGTGACTCTATTTCCTCGTTATTTTTTTATTTACTTGTTATTCTGTGCCTCAGCTTCCTGATCTGTCAGTTGGGAATTAGACTATTACCTGCACCCTTGAACCAATAGGAAAGCTCAATGAGAGAACACATGGACGCCATTCAGAGCGATGCTGAGCTGCTAACATTGTCATCATTATTGAGGGGGTGGCCAGGTGTGCACATATGTGTGTGCGCGCGCACACACACACACACACACACACACACACACACACACACTGCTATGGTATAATCCACCTGCCCTTCAGACTACTTTTTAAAGCAGTACCATGGTATATGAGTGTTTCCCTTATCTCCGTCCCCTTGTTCCAGGCTTCCTGCCCCTTTCCTGTCCATGCCACCTGGGCAGGTGCTCAGTCACAGATGCGTGGGGTGGGAGGGGACCGGCTATGTCTTTCACACCCATTTGGCTCCTTCCACAAGACCCTACTCATTGAAGATCCCCAGTAAGGACACTCAGGGTGAATCTGTTGAAAATGAAGGTCTCAACACAACTTAAATCTTCTCTAGAAACCTTTTTATCTATATAAAGCAAAACACTTCATTAAAGAAATTTCCATCTCCATTTTTTGCCTCCGCTTCCTTGTGCAGGGCTGTGATGGGAAGGAAATGTGGATTTATTTACTCCTGCCCAACAACCACTTGGGCAGCCTGTAGATTCATCTCATTTACAAGCCATTCCCTTCAAGTTTCCTCAGAAACTATTACCACTTCGTTCTTTCCTAATGACAGCATAGAAGGCAAACTAATTTCTACTAGCCTCTAGCTGTGAGATTTATCGAGAAGACACGAACATGTTTCCAACAACCAACTCAAGGAAAAAAAAACATTGATGTCATGGGTTATTAACTTTGTCATGATGAAATTAATGAAAATCCCCTTGGAAATGGAGCTCTCCACTCTCTCTGCTCCTTCCCCAGATGGCTGCCCTTGGGATGATAATTCTGGTTTAGGAGTCACTGTGAAGACCATCAGGAACAGGGCATTTCTGCAACATCATCCCTCTTTTGGCTTCTCCATTGAGCTGGCCTCAGAAACTCCATCTTCCTCTATGAGGCCTGTGGTCAGGGCTTCCTGTGTTCCAAAGCCAGCCAAGCGCTATTAGAGCAATTCAGTTGGTTTGCTTTTTAGTAGAAAGTCCCTGGAAGAAAAATATCTAAATAAGTGGCTTCTAGTGGTCCAAAAGCATTGTATTTGCCAGCATGCAGCAGTGCTGTTTATTTTTCCTTACAAAGCACAGTCTGATTTGGGTGTTGCTCATTCTTGTTTTCTTGACAAGTTAGTTTAGGTCTTGTCTGGCTCAGCCAGTAATAAAAGTGATAACCGGTCCCTGGGAGCCCTGAGACTTTGCTAAGGTTTCACGAGCAACCTTGCTCTGAGGAGAATCCCTTGTACTATGTCTTTGGAACTGCATTGCCTGGTGACTTCAGGCCTGTAATTGAAGTAATAGACTTATTATCACATTGCCACCTGATTTATATTCACATGTACTTCCAAAGGGGACAGACAAATGATGTAAACTGTGTTGTCTGATCACCGAGGAGCCTGATCCAGGAATGAAGCCGTGGGGCTCCTGTGGAATTGTTATCAAGAGCTCCCTCAGCTTGGAATCCTTCTTCTCTGTGCATCTGAAAATTGCTGAATAGTTTGCTGGAATCACTTCTCCTGTGCTCAGTCTATTAAAACATCTTGCCCCCTCCCTTCCCCATGTACCCATTTCTTTAGAGTTGCCTGTACTCTTCCCTGGTGGAAAGGTTTTTTATCAACCTGTTAGGAGAAGCCTTTCCTCTGGAGCCTTCTCCTAGCCCCCTATACCATCTGCCTTGGATTTGATGTCACTAACCCTGAAGACCCAGACACATGTGCCTGACAAGGAGAGCTGGAAGCCGGTGCTGGAGACCAGCGCACGATGGTCTTCTTTGGTGCAGCAGGTTGCTGTTCTGACTGCACAACTCTTTGGGACATGCAGCAAGTTGTGGGAGGCTGTGCAAATGTTAGGAGGCCACAGAGCCTCAGGAATGGACAGATGCCCTCTCCTCCGTCCCATCCTCCCCTCAGTTCAGCAGATCCCCCTGCGTCCCCTTTGCCCTCTGCTGCCATCTGCTGCATCCTCTGGCCTGGTCCCAGTGCCCTCTCTTAGGACAGGTGGGCTAGCAGCAGTTGGCACTGTGGTGTTGCTGGGGATGGGTTCCTCCAGCTGTGACATCTGGACGTCAGCTTGTCCTCCCAGCTGGACCCTCTGTCCACTGTTTCTCCGATATTGCTGGCTGAATAGAGCCGGTCTAAGGATGTGGCAGAGGTCAGTCAGCGCCTGCTGTCTGCCTCTGCGGTCTCTCGGACAGTCTGCTTTGCTTGATTAATGGCGGAGTGAAGAGTGCCTGGGGGAAATGCAGCCTTTTCTCATGAAAATATTTCCCCATTTCCAGCTTTGGTATTGGGAGGGTAATGATCGGGTGTGAGATGCAGCTGGCCTGTGTGCTCTGACCTTGGCCTGCCATTCATCTTCCTGTGCCTTCAGGAATGGTTCTTATCCTGATAATGATGCATGAGGATCCTGGGTCCCCTGCAGCATGACAGAGGCGAGGCTAGAGCACCCTAGTGAG